AAGAGTTTGGAGAAGGCAGGAAAAGAGAACACACCATGCTAATTTAAAGCCTTTAAGCCATCCCACCAATCAGGTCAGTTTGCTACCCTCATGTAAGTAAAAGATAAATTTCGATTGGCTGGTATGAGATACTGCTCTTTACTGTTTGCCTTTATCTAGGATGCATCGGTTTAAAACCTTGTCATCTTTTATTTCAGTTCCCTGAAGCATTGAAAAACTGCCCATAAGAGAGCTGCTCACTTTTCTATAAATTTGGTGCTTTTCATTGTACAGTTTTTTCCCTCTCCCTCGAGTGCATTCAAATTAAAGTGTTGATTTTAAGACAGTTACGTCTCTCGCAGTGAGGGAGCCATGCAACAAAGCAGCCCCAAGGAGGTAATTATAGGAATTAATTCATAATGGATTCTCTGCAGATGGTAAGGGGTTCAGAGTGAGGCTGTGTCAAATCGTTCAGCAGATATCACTCCATTATTTTTCCAGCCAAATGCAGCGTTCTCACAGAATGCTAATGTACTCGGTTTAACCCCAGCCTATTTCACTGCCGTGATTGATGCAGTAGACCAAATAATGGTTACCTGCTCCAAGGTCGGCATGCTTCATACAGAGAAATGATTGATTAAATATTGCAAATTGCTTCTTTTTTTTTAACATTCAATAAACTCAGAGTGCTTCCTTAAAAACCATTCATTTTAATGTAACACACAAATTAGCACAGGCAGTGGATGGTTAATTTTATTCCCCATCAATTTACAAATTCAAGTGGCCTTTTTTTTTGGATCACTCTAAGTGCTTTTACATTAGCTTGAATACATTTACCTATACACAAGAAGAGTGGTTTAGTACTGCAGCATTCAGACTGAGAAAAGACAATCGCCCACCACAATATCAGCCATTTGTTGTGTGTTCTTTATTGCAGTGTGTTAGCATTGATGATAATTATAATACAGGCGGCATATTCATTAAAGAGCAGTGGGGACATGCAAAGTATTGTAAACCGTAGGGGGAAAGCACTCCTGAAACAAGCTGCTGCTCAGCAATTATCAAAAGTTTATTTATACATATAACAAAAAACATTCTCCGTGCATATTGTGGCATTGCCACTTCATCAGGAGCTTGAAGAAGTGACTCTACCATGATACTCATGGAGCGTGGGTTTGTTGGTTTACCTGTATCTTTGACTGGTTAATCCTACTTTTGCCTCCCTGGGGTTTGCATTCATCTCTACCCTAGGCAATACATGGCTTACATACATATTTTCTCTTTAGCTCAGCTCATATATTCTTTTACTATATATGTGCTTACTAATGCACATTACTGGGTCTTCTAGAGACAACAGTGAAAAAACCCTTTTCACCTGTGTATGCATTAGTCCTCATGCACAGGGGTGCATTGGGGCTGAACACATAAATCCATGATTCCTGCGTAGAGCCACCTTAGACATCAATAGCTTTGTGTAGCAGTATATGCCGGTTCTTTCGTAAACTTACACATGCATACAAATGTATGCCCCAAAGGGGATTATGAAAGTACTGGAGTACAGATGCATACAGCCATTGATGTCTGTGGATGGCTGTGGCTTACCTGTGGCTCCCCACGCCCACATTTACATGTACAGCCCTCATGTGCCCTTGTACATGAGACCTTACAAAAGCAGGTTACTGATTATGCATTTGAGTACCATAACTATTAACAAAAATGTATCTTATTTGTGTATCACTCGGCTGTAGATCTTCAAATCATCTCTGAATTGGTGCTGACACTGTCCTTCCTTCTGGAGGGGGGCTACTTTTGTTCCCCATAGTTCGAGTGTCTGTTGTAAAGTAGTCATCACTCCAAGCTCACTCCCGTAAGGGACTACAGTCTTGCATTTAGTTTACTAATTTGTATTGAGATTGTAGTCCATCACAGGAGTGAGCTTGGAGTGGTGGATACTTTACAACACACACAGGGACCATGGGGAACAAAAGTAGCCCCCCTCCAGAAGGAAGGACAGTGTCAGCACAAATTCAGAGATGATTTGAGGATCTACAGCTGAGTGATACACAAATAAGATACATTTTTACTAAGTTTGTTTGACTGATTCCCAAGGAGTACATCCCTGTGGGGGTTAACTTCTTATTTTCTATAGATTATTTGGGTTTAATACCCCTTGGGAATTATTCTGATTAGATTTGGTTCACCCTATATGGGGACCCCCTATTTATGTTTTCTTACAAGTGAATACTCTGCTTTAAGCACCCCAAACCTAAAAAAGGGGCTCTATCAACATGAAATTAAACTCAACATACCCACAACATAAATGAAAAACCAAAGTATCACCCCTGAACCAAATGCCCATTTTTTAATATAGGGCAACCTTGTAGCAACAGAATAGTTTGCTATGAACAGGATAGCATGCAGCTAAAAGTGATTGCTGACCTCATATCACCTACAAAATAAAATAAAAGACAAAAAGGCCAAAATATTTGGAAGAAAAAAGGCAGCAAAGTGGTTGAATGTCAAAGAGCTAGCAATCACAATTACAGTTTCCTAACTGACCCTAATCTTTTCCTATGCAGTTTGTTAGTTTTCCCTATGCTTTCTCTGCAACAGCTTCCAATACACTCTGGACTGGTTGCTCTGCCCCCCCCTGTTTTATAGTGAGGGAGCTTGCTAATCCAAAAGCCTCCTCATTGACCCTATTAAGCCTGCTGGCCATAGTTTAAAGGCCAAGCTGTACATTGTTTAAAAAAAATTATCACGGGCAGATGTGCGCAACAATTCACCAGGACCGTAAACCACAGGATTCGCTTCAAATCCATGAAAACAGCGAACCCAAACCTTATCCCTACTCTTTAGATACAGTACAGTGTGCAAGCCTTGTCACCCTTGGACAGGAAGCATGTAACTGGCAGGATCACAGAGTAAAAATAAATAAAGAATAACCTGAAGAATGAAAACAAATGCAGCCACCATATCCAAAGATTGGTAAGTTGTGAAAATTACAAGTTTGTCTTGAGTTTAGATACTCTTTAATTTAACTCTTTCCTGAGCTATTAAAAACTTTTTTTTAAAAATGGTTCGTTTAGCTTTAATAAAATTACAATATAGTAAAGTACAGTATACTATAGTACAGTTTACTATAGTGTGCAGTCAAGTATAATTTAACATTTAGTATCATGTAAGAGTGTTTCCCCTCTATAAAATATATGCAATAAAACTTGTTAAAGTTTTTAAGCTCTTCTAAATACTCAACATGTCTGAAGACAGCTTTGGTTGTAGCACGATTCCACTCCCTTATCTGTCTCTCTTCCCCCCCGCAATCTTAACATGGCATTTTTTTTTTCTTGTTCTGTGCCTGCCGGCTTCATCCTGCTTGACAACTAATAATTATTTTAGAAAGTAACAAAGATGCAAATGTCAGTTTCATGTAGTTCTTATTTTTAATGTATAACATACAACTAAATGTAACTGTCTATAAGTGAAGAGCAATTCAGAGCTGACATAAGTATGAGAAGGATATCTCTGATCAGAGATTATGATTTTTCTTGATAGTCTTGTCAGGAGCGTAACTACAGATCACGAGGACCCATAGCAAAAATGTGATGGGTAGCCCCCCCTGACAACCTCTCTCTGAGCTGTGAGTACCAAAAATCCCAAAGACTCCTCTTATGCATCTAGCATCAGCTTTCCTGCATTGTAGACTTTACAAAGGATTAGGGTTGTCATCAACCACTCCAGCAGTTAATGATACAGTACCATGTTATCTTCACATGTTCTATATTTAATTTGTCTCAACAACCTAATAGGCCACCCTTCCACCCCCACGCCCCATAGCAGTTGCCTGGGTTGCTATGGCTATACTTATACCACTGAGTGTTGTAATAATCCAGTAAGAACATGATACTTACTTTGCTTAACACCTTTTTCTTGTCATACACTCTTAACCTTTTTTTTGTTTTGTTTTTTGTTTTTGTTTTGCCCCATTGCTCTAATTCTAACCCACCATTGTTCAAAGTGCTAGCTGGAGTTGGAACCCTCCAGTGACATCAGGATTTCTCTCCATCCATAGATGATGATTGACATTATAGTATGTCCCTGTGTCATGCCCATTGAGGAGCTTGCAGAGCAAACGTCCTCCCTGTGTCCTGTGGCTGCATTACATACTGCTACCTACAGTCTTTGAGGCAATTTATTATCCTAAGCTGCAAATTAAAACAGGTAGCAGGACAGCAAGAACTTGTGACCTGACTTTTAAAGCAATTTTTACTTTCCCAATTTTATTTTTATATGTGAATTTTTTTATATGCACTGCTGTTTGTGTTATGGTTCCTTTACTTCTGCTTCACATGTATTTTTAAATATAATTAGTGTAAGTACCTGAATTCATTGTGAGAGCAACCTCTTTAACAGCACAGAGAATGGAAGGGTGAGGAGCAGCACAGTGAGCCAATCAGATTCAGCTGCAGTGCAAACATACTGACAGTGCACATGGGGACAGTAGGAGAGAGCAAAGTGAACAGGGCAATGGCCTCATTAGTGAGGTGTTTCTCCTTCATTGGTTAAAAAATAAGCTAGGTGAGTCTTGACCAGTGGCTCTTCACGTAGCTCGTCTAATTGAGTCTGGTAGGGGTGTCAAGATCACATGACTGCCTACAATGATTACAAAACTTTAGCGGCTACAACAATACCTGTAGTGAAGCCTGGAGTCAAGCTTTGATTCTGAATAGGTCAAATGACACAAAAGCATAGCTTAGCTTAAATTATTTTCTCTTTATTGAGTACATTGTGGACAACTGACAATAAAAATGAATGGCATAAATAGTCAAAGCACAATTCTTATAAAATATTATACAGCACTGGTCTTGAAAAAAGATTTGTAGAAAACTACACAGTGATATGTATATAAAAATAAAAGAAAAACACACAGTATATGAACGTAATATTGCATAGCTAAAGCTAAAATAATTTATCACCATTTAACAAAGAGTGAAAAGAAATCGCATAGGTGCTATAATTGTTACAATGTTTTAGCAATATCATTCTATGAAAAAAAAAATCCCTCTTACATATGATGCATAAGGCGTTCACGCTGAGATGTTTTCCGAAGCAGTTTTCTGTAGTCGTACGGGTTACCATCCATTTCATTTTCTTGCTGGGATTCATCTGCAATGGAAGATCTAGAGAAAAATAGTTTTTTTTTTAAAAGCAATTATTTCGAGAGGTAAGCAGGAAGCAACAAATCTTTACTTACCAGGAAAGAATCTCTGAGGTAAAAATAACACAGCAGAAAGTTTCAGCATATTTCTTGTGAAGTCTAACATTTTTTCTTCCATATCTATAATGTGAAGTGTGTATGGAACACTTTGATCAATTTTACACCATTTACACTACACTTATGAATTGCAGTGCATGCCTATCTCCAGAAAGGGTTCACTGGTGACGTATTGGAGACTATATTTGTTTTTACAGTAATGATAGAGAAAGACAGATGATTTCAGTAGATGGAGTATATTCTATGTATTAAAGGAAAACGTTGAAATTAGCTGGGCTATACACTGAAGGGCGAAGAGTTTGGAGAAGGCAGGAGAAGTGAACAATCTAGTACAACATGAACTGGAAAGTGAGCTGAATTGTAGAATTTTTCCAAATCAGCTATGTTCTTGTACATGTTAAAATTGATTTAACTTTCATAATTGCTACACAAACCATTTGGTATCTTAAACTGTATGTAAAGCCAAAACTTTTTTTTAGGTTTTAGAGAAAGTCTTAAAGTAATTTTATGCTGTATGTGCCCAGATGGGCAGATTTTCCTTTACTTCCTATCCCAATGACACACTAGAAAATTGGATGAATTTTCCCTAAAGTGTACAGAATCCCCATCGTAGAAGTTTGTCACTGCTAGAGTGGTCTCCGTCGGAGGAAGTTCCCTAATTGCTTGACAATGACAGCTCAAAATTTTGGGAATTCTCCTCATTTTTGTTGACAAAGAGAGGGGTGAATCTCCCCAGATGGTACATATATAGCAGTAAAAACTTGTCAAAGGGTCTCCTTCCTACTCTTTACATACAATCTGAAGCCTGACTTTAGGCATTCACAAAATTATTAAAATGCATTTTAATCATTCTTCTTAAAGTCTTCCATCTGTCCCAACTGTTATATATATAATTTATTTTATAATTTATTTTAATTGTTTTGCTGTTTAAAAAGAGGTGGGCTCAGTTTTGAAATAAACCCAGTCCAAACCAGTCAGCTGTGGCCTGGGGAATTCCTGACCCACAGCTGTGAGGTCATTATTATATGTCCAGATGGCTAAATTTACTCAATAGCATTGACCTAATGTGGACAGGACCTCCAGCTGTGGCGGGACACACAATTAAAATGTATCTAAACCTCCCACAAGATGTAATATAGTGCAGCTTACCAATCTTTAGATGTGGTGGCTGCATTAGGTTTCCCTTTTTAAGCTCTGTTTTCTTTATTTGCACCTGGCATTAACACACTTGCTGACTCAACTCTATGGGGGAGCAACAAAGCCACCCTACCCTAACAGGCTAGTAGGAAAAGGTACATTCCAAATAAATGGTATGTTCTTAGTGCTGACAGCTCATTGCTGGTTTCTATAGGGGGGAGTTCTCAGTGCTAAAAACAAGTGTAAATCCTGCAGGTCCCCTAATGCCTGATGTGAGTCCTTATAATTTAATTCCAGCACTTAACTTATCCTTAACACTCAACTTTAACCCCACAAACCCTGTAATATTAACCTAACCGCTAAACAAAGTAGAGTATTAGTCTTTTCTGAATAAATTAAAAATTAAACCCATAGCCACGGAATGGTATAAAATCACAGTATAATATTTTTTTATGCCTTTGTGTGTAATTGCAAGAACCATTAGTGGTGGATTTGATAAAGTTAGAATTAATTTCTCTAGAACAATAATTTGTTCTAGAGACATTTATTTTTTCAGTTAAGTCTTCCTCCACCAAATGACAGGTTGCTGGCATTCTATGAATCTCATGTAGGACTTTTTGTTTGGTGGATCACATAAAGGTTCTACTCAAAGGGTATATTCTTGTTCAGTGAGAAGCACAATATCATTAAAGGCTTTTATAAACAGACTTAGCGTTGCTATACTTGCATGCAAAACGCTCTTTAATCGCAAGTCAACATAGCAGATCATACGCAGCCCCACCTGCACATTGTTTGAATGTATGCATTTGAGTAGAGCTGCATTTGAATGCAAATAAATATAGCCAGTCTACACAAGCCCTGATGCTGTCTTGCAAGAATTCAACAAGGATTTAGACAAGTGACACTAAACTCAGGAGTTAAATCTTAAAAGTATGTTAACTATTAACAAAAATGTATCTTATGTGTGTATCACTCGGCTGTAGATCCTCAAATCATTTCTGAATTGGTGCTGACACTGTCCTTCCTTCTGGAGGGGGGCTACTTTTGTTCCCCATGGTCCCTGTGTGCATTGTAAAGTAGCCACCACTCCAAGCTTGCTCCATTTATGGACTACAATCTTAATTCAAACTAGTAAACAGATTATGTTTCATCACAGTAGCAAGCTTGGGGTGGTGGCTACTTTACAACACACACAGGGACCATGGGGGACAAAAGTAGCCACCCTCCAAGGGGAAGCATAGTGTCAGCATGAATTACCAGCATGAGAGAAAAGAAAGTAGAAATGGTTATATTTACCATTAAATCTATGAAATTCTGTGTATCCTGGGTATGCAACATTCTGCACTTACCTGAATAAAATACTTCAGCACAAAATATGGAAAGCTAACAAGCAAAGCACTACTGTTTTATATCATTCTAAAATGACTATCCACTATAGTTTACTGCGTTGTCAGCCTCATGTCTAAAAAAATAAATAAAATAATGTATTAATGAATACAGTGCTGCACTGTTTGTGTCTTTTACATCTGCCTAGAGTTGAACTTTATAATGGCAAAGCAATTTGACATTTTTGGGAGCTTTATATTTAGGGCATAAGGCTTAGGCATGTAAGCCACCCCACAGAATGTTTTGATTTTCATTATCAGATCTAAAATTTGGATCAGTCCTATATTCATTATGCGGATATCGGATGGATCCGATATTTTGTTTTCAAGCCAAAAACCAAAAAAAGCATGGGGTCCTCCCCAAAATCCTTTATTAGACCCTTGATTCGAGCAGTGGCCTGGCAAAGCAGGGAAAGGTGGACCCTAAAGGGTCTGGTATGAATTTTGAGGAAGACCCCACGCTTTTTTTTTATTGTCTAACACCTTTTAGTTCATTTCCAAAAATTTGGATGCATTCAAATTTTCAATTCTGCAAAATTTGTATTTGTTTGAATTCATTATTTTTTCCATTTGGAAATTTGGATGCATCCAAATATTCCTCATGTGACATGACCTTAAGAACTGTTGATTTTTCTCCGTTAGTTAGACCTGCCCCGGCAAAATACACTCAGAAACTGAAAATGTAAAACTGACTGGTGGCTCTATGGGAATGACAGTTCAGAATATTGATACATGCAGCTTTTAATGTGGATAGCTGACCCTTGTTTGATAGTAATGTGAATCATGCTCTGACAGAAGGTGAGAACTTGTGATCTGTATATCTTCAGCTTTGGCAGGGCCAGATTCTAAGTTTTAGTTGCACTTTTAGATAACTGTAGAGTATGGTCATCTTGTTCTAATAATTTAATCAAAGGCTTCAACAATACTGATGTTACATTTTGTATTTTATTACTGAGAATGTATGAATAATATTTCATCACAAGAAGAAGAGCTAACATACAAGGAAAGCTGACCTAAGGAATCTGGAATACCACAATCATGTTGTCTAGATGCAACTAGTTTTCCAATCCGGCTCTGCACAGCACCAGTAGATACGTTATGTCTTTAAAGAGGATTTCACGCTTTAAGATGCTATCAAGAACAAAAAATGCCCCAAATTACCCCTGTAGGGATGCTGGGCTTAGTTATAAAGTTCTCAGATGTTGTACGCATACAGAGCTGACAGACTATGTGAGGTCCTACCATATACTCCAGCCAATATAAGACAAGTTCATTGCTAAAAAGGCTACAAACCCATGTTTATGGAATGTGCCACCTATGGAGGTAAAATGGGCATTTTTATGTATTTATTTTAATAGAACCAAAACATTGGAAACAAAGGCAGTTTCTAGGCATCGTGGCACCAGCATGATCCCTGAGGCTACGACCTTGCAATATAGATAATAATGTTAAAGATTTTAATTTTGAATACTGTGCCTTTTAATAAACAGTGAGTATAACTGTATAGTTACAAATATTTAAAAGAAAGAATTATAATGGTTTTGTATATATTATCAGAGCTAACAAATAAAATATTTTTTTTGTTGTTGATGAAAGAAGCCTATTGTTTGCAAAGCTCAATGAAGCGTCACTGCAGTGACTCCTTACTTAACAGACGACTGATTCTGATGTTACTATCAAAGAAACCAAGCTTCATCGCCCTTAGCTTACTCAAACAGCTCTGTCATCCCTTAGTCATGTACTAAGGGCCAGTTCACAGCAGCAACAATGGGGTGTGTTGCCCAAGGTTCTCCTAATGAAAGAACAAGGCAAATTGCCTTATATCCTATGATTTCAGTTCACATCAGAACTGCCGACATGCTGCAGTGCAGGGCAAACACTAAACTTAAGGTTAAAACGGGAGTTATACACACCACATTGCAACACGTTAAAAACACATAGCAGAACAAGTTTAAAACACCTGCATGTGCACATGCCAAAACATGCGCTATGGTGTGAATGGGCCCTAAATGTCTATTTATAAAGACAAAGATTGTAAATAGACAGATAGTTTAAAAAAACTGTTTCAAGTGGAGCTATAGGCAAAATAAAAAATTATATATATGCTGCAGTCTGTTATTAGCAGCAACATAGCATTTTTTGTTTCAGTTCCTTTTTAATTTCCTGTTGATCCTGCCTGAAGATCCGTTATTTTACTACTTCCTTTGACAGGCCAAGCTGACCAGCAAAACTGGCAGTTACAGGGGTTAGGACTTTAATTTATTTCTTTTTAAAAAAAGGTCAATTAAAAACAACATGTTCATCTAAGACAACCCTGTCTACAAGGTGATAACTGTGCTAAATGATTTCACTGTGGAAAAAACAGGGTGGCACCCTATTACAAAAAATAGTGGATCTACTGGCAGAATCAACAAGTAAACATAAAAACACAGAACAGTAAAATATATAAATACACAAAATATATGAACTAATTTTTAGAAACCCTCAGAGTAGATCTTAATGGCAAAAAAATATAAATAAAATGTAAAAAAAGGCAAGAGTGCCCCAGAAATATATATATATATATATATACATATATATATATATATATCTCACAAATATTCAGTAGTGATGGTGGGCTTGCTTGGTCTCCAGAGTAAGTGCCATCAATGCCATCACACTGCTCCTACCTGGCTAGAAATCTGCCTTGTTAATAACGCAATGCTATTCATACATTCTGATCAATTATCCTGTTTATGTCCTCATATTTTTGTGTCTGATCAGAATGTAGTCATAGTGGTGGTCACTGTCAATCTGCTTTGTGAAAGTAAAGCATTCATTACCTCTCGTTTGGGGTTAGGATGGAAAACTCCATAGCAGAAAACCCATCATATGTTTTGGGCTTATTTATTGACACTGAATGGTTGTAATAAATTTCGTTATAATAATCTTCTGATTCCAGTACTTTGCCTTGACTGTGAAGAAAAGAAAATTGCCTTTTGTCTGTTTTACCAAGAGAGCTCTAGAATGCAGCTAAACACTTCAGATAATTACTAGACATGTAGATTGCAGAGCTCCTGGCAATGGAGAAAAACCTTGACTGGTTGGTGGGAGAAAGGTAAGGGAGATGGAGAACATTCAGACATGAACACAAAAGACAGGGAAAGGTCTTCAGCCTCATATGATGTGGTCATAGTCTTCAGTCTAAAGCATCTACAGTATATAGATTTGGGGGCATTGACAGAACCAAGGATTGGTTGTTCAGAAAAAGTAAATAGTGGCCTTAATGCTTGATTTATCTGATTCCATCAGCACATTCCTCTTTAACCCCTTGGGTGAGAGGGACTGGACAGAAGCAATGAGAGGCTGTGGTACCCGACCATTTAGTCTCCTGCATACTGACTGACTACAGATAGATTTTTGCTGGTCAGCAAACAGCCGAAGGGATTTAAATCAAAGCGAGGTGCCGTGCCTGCCCTGAAAATAGCACCGCATCTGGAAGTCTGACAATGGTAGCCTCCAGCACTGACCAGGGATCTTAGCTGAGACAGCTGATGTGACAAGTTCCCTTAAATACTTTTAATGTGATATTTTAGCTTACAGAGAAGGTGGGAGCTAGAAACGTTTGTGCGTCCATTATTCAGCCGGGACCCGAAGACATGAATAAGCATCATAGTGTGCCAGCACATTCTGGAGAACAGACAGAACTAGACATGTGCGATTCGTTTAGTTCCGAATCGAAATTCGGATGAATTTTCGGAAATTCGGACATTCGGATGTATCCGAATTCCGAATTACAGACATAACGAATGAAAACGAATCCGAATTTCCATTTCCGAAATTCGGTAGCGTTAGTACGAACGTTCGTTTCGTTTTCTGTTCTTATTCGTTTCTTATTCGTTTCGTTCGTTGGAGCAAAGTGACATTAGAGAAGGAGAAAAAAATGTTTCCCCCCTCAAATGTCACTTTTGCTGCAAACGAACGAATAAGATACGAATAAGATACGCATAAGAACAGAAAACGAAACGAACGTTCGTACTAACGCTACCGAAATTTCGTCCGAATCCGAATTCCGAATCCGAATTGACTTTCACACCCGAATCCTGAAAAACGAAATAACACAAATCCGAATTTAAAACGAAACGAAACTAAACACATTTTTTGGCAGTTTACATGTCTAGACAGAACATATATTGCAACAAGTTTGGGAAGGCATTTCCCTCTTATCAGCTGCAGAATCCTGTACCACAGTGCCAAAGTGTTTAACTGTTTCTTACTCTATGCAAAATTTAAAAAATTGCCTTTAGATACACCAAATATTTTTTGCACCAAATCTTCTACCTCTAAAACATATGTGCTAAAACTTGAAACAATTAGAACCAAGTGCCACTCAGGGAAGAGCACTCAACTCTTGCTTACAAGGGGCTGTAGGTTCCTTCTATCCTTCAAAGAAGGTGGCAGCTTTGGGAAAGAGTGTAAATGCATTCCACAAGTAATAGCGTTGGCTGACCTGAAATTAGTCATCATATACGTGGGTGGAACAAATATAATAAATTAATCTACATCTAGCTATGGAGACAAATATTCAAAATAAAACAATTATATACATTTACATGTTATACCCTTCAATCGTGTGTAATTATTCACAAGATATACAGTAATACAAAGAGTGGCTAATTTCCATAAGCAATAAACTATATATAGAGATAACCTGGGAAAACGTACAAGAGAAAGAAATACAGAAATGTATAATTAAAATGTGAAAGTCCACAATTCAGCATTGCGAAACACAAAACAAATAAGCAGCTGAGACATTTTCTTGGGATTATCTGGGAGCATTAACTCACCCTTCTTTTCTTGGTTTTCGCTTTTCATCTACATAGGGCAACTGAGAAAATAATAAATATGCATTATTTGTTCGAATTTATAATTTTGAAAATAATAAATATGCATTATTTGTTCGTAGTTATAATTTTGAAAATAATAAATGAGCATTATTTGTTCAAATAATCTTATCAAAAAATGTTTTAATATTAAAAAGCATTTAAAATAAAGCCAACACAGCTGAGAAAAAAAAAGACTTGGAGAGGAGATCCCAAACTTAGCCCTCCGTGGCTAATGGTAGGACTGCATGCCAGTGATTAGTATCAGCACAGTCTCAAATTTAGCACAAAGGGTCACCCTGAAGCTGGTAACCAGTGGGAGCCTCTCTGATCAGCAGCAAACACTTCTGGATGTTTGCTTGCCCTGATTGAACAAGGTGGCAGTGTCTCTCTTATGGGTGTATTTATAAACAATTTGCAGAGCGATGTGTCCTGCAAATCTCTGTGAATGTTCACTCTGGAAGAATGGAGGCAAAAATAAATGTTCTTAGCATATGTTCTTTCCAAGTCAAATGTAAAATCAGGAAAATACTAGATTGTGGCCACTGGATGGAGCTGAAGAGCACGGGTAATAAATAATTGTTTTCTATGCTTCTCTGCTCCATTTAGTGGCCATAATGCGGTATTTTCCAGATTGTGCCTTCAACTTGAAAAAAAAAATAGAAACATTTGTGTTTGCCTCCACTTGCACAGAACAAAAGGTATTTTGCAGGAAAGAAGGGGGGGGGGGGCTCTGTGCTACATTTAAAACTGTGCTGATACTGCTCACTGGCACGCAGCCCTACCACTAGCTACAGAGGGGATCTCCTCTCCAAGTCTCTAAATGTGCCATATCTGCTGACATTTGTGTGTGCACGATACTTTTTGATGGTATTAATATCTATCTACTTTTAATGTACGAGGTTTATGTGCCCTGTGTTCCATTCTTATCTTGGCTGTCATTGATTTCTATACTTCTAAATCACAGATGCAGAACAAACGTGGAGCAAATGAAAGCTGGGAAAACGTCCTTATCTCTATATTTTCTCCATGGCAGTGGAAGCCATTGCACCAGTCTGTCAGTCAGACAACTAGCACTTTCAGATGTCAACAATGGCAGCCTACATATGTCTATCATAATGTTTCCTTTAGGGATTTTATGCTTGGCTGTAAATTGCTCCTACAGTGTAATTTTTACCTTTAAATAAATAATATTAATGAATAAAGCCAGTCTTATTTAACAAACAAAACACACAACCTTATAACATTGGTGGAAAAAAAAGTATGACCTTTAGGATAACAATATGTTTATCAGAAGATAAGTGGAGTTAGCTAGTCTAAACAATGTTAATGTACACTATGGTCCCATCAAAAGAGATTTTAGAAGTCCATGAAAAAGGGATATTTGATTGATGGGATAATGTGATAGCAGTTGCTTGAAAAACTTGAAACACCTTTGATTTATTTACAAGGCTATCACACTGATTGGTGGATGGCTGAAACTTTTGAAAACTACATAGCTATAACTTTCCAGTGCCCTTTTCTTTCTTTTTTTCAGCCATGTTTTTATACCTTCTAGCAGAGTTATTTTGATACACTCAATCATTGTGTTCATATGTCACAATGATCACTTCAAAAGTATTAAACAATAAAAAAAACAACACTAGTTACAGAATGTCCTTCAGACGTGGTGACAGTTAAAGGCACAGTCCACGTTTTGCAAAAATTTTATAAATGCACCCACATTAATAAAACATAAAATGTGAAATTAAAGAGGAACTTCACCCTTAGCTTAAAAATGACAACAGAGGGACCTTAGAAATGTTTAGTAATGGCAAGTACCTAAGTAATTAAAAAGAAAAAAGGGCACTCGGGGAGAAGACCCCTGCAATTCAGGTAAGTGGTGGTAGGGAAAGGTGTGGTATGAGGGTGGGAGGGGCTGGCAAATGTAACAATCTTATATGTTGCACCCTAAATATGGGTGTCACATGAAAAATGGTCACAAAATTGGACTTTGCTTTTAGGTATTATCTTAAAAAGCTGCCTCATTTTCTGTCTCTACTGTGTGTCACTTGTTTCTTTAATACTGAACTCTGGGCAAATATAAAATATATAAAATCTGTGTTTTTTTTTTTACATTCTGCCACCCCTAACAAGGAGCTATGTGACCAGAGTTTCTGCTATCTCTAGACAAGATGGGAATTCCATCCCAGAGAGAGAGAGAGATCTAAGAACACTCAACACAGATTTTCCTTCCCTTATTATCTCTTAGTTTTTCTCTGCTTTTGTGGCTACAGAAAAAAGATTTGGGTTGTTTTACTAAAGGCAATTAGGCTGTTCACTTTGCAAGGGAATTTCCCTTTAGCTTAGTGAATGGGGTGAAGCTCTGCCAACTTCCATCATCCAATCATGTGCAAGCACAAATGCTGTTTCTTTTTACATTTTCTTGCACCTCATTGGGTATTCTTTGCAAAATAAATTTTCACTATATTCACTGATCTAAGGAAAATGCCTTGAAACGTGAAGAGCATTCAACGTTAGTGAATATAGTATAGTATTGAACCCCACTGAATGGATGCAACATTTCCATTCCTATCCTTTCTGTGCAGGAATAGCCAAGATTATGGTTGGTGGAGTTTATCACATATGAGCAGGAATTAGTGATGGCAGATGAGAAACAACATGGCTTTTCAGTGCTGCTTTAGGGATCACCCTGTGGCTAATTCACTAAAGAAGTTGAGCAAGTTCACTTTGCAAAGTGCATTTTCAATCTTAGTTACATCAATACATAATTAGTCAGGTTGAAAAACTGAAATCCATCAAGTTCAGTCTGCAAGAAATTTTCACTTATGAACATTCTTTAGTAGATCAACCACAGGGAATTGGAATGCCCCTTCACCTGAAAAATGATTCACACTCTCACTCTTTTTGCATCCTAAAAGGGGGTTTTCTGTGCCATCTTTAGGTTTAAAATTTTCAAACTAGTATTTTAAAAGCACCTTCTGAAAAGGTAATAAAGTTTATCAGGGGCACTTATCTATGAATGATGTTATAAGGACAAAAATAAATGCTGTTATTAGAAGAAGTGAATGAATAATCTTCTAGTAACAGCTCAGGAAGTCATAGAAGTATTGGCATGTCTAGACGTATACGCTCTATTTATGGAAACGGGAAGCAGATATTGCTCAAAACCATAAATGGTCAACAATTACTGAACTTTTGCTATAAATAAGTCTTTAAAAGCATAATGCTAAAGGGTTTTTTTGTTAAAATATGTCTCCATTTTCTTCATTGGTAAATTTGATTGTGACAATTATATGTAGCTATAAAGCGGCTTTATTTCCTCCAATCAACATCACAATATTTCTACCAAGGTAATAGTAATCCCCCAAAATCTACAGGGTTATTCACAAAAGGGTGAATTTAATGATATTGTGCTACTCACTGAACCCTTTGAGTAGAACCTTTATGTGATCCACCAAACAAAAAGTCCTACATGAGATTCATAGAATGCCAGCAACCTGTCATTTGGCGAATTCCTGGAGGAAGACCTAACTGAAAAAATAAATGTCTCTAGAACAAATTATTGTTCTAGAGAAATTAATTCTAACTTTATCAAATCCACCACTAATGGTTCTTGCAATTACACACAAAGGCATAAAAGAATATTATACAGTGATTTTATACCATTCCGTGGCTACGGGTTTAATTTTTAATTTATTCAGATAAGACTAATACTCTACTTTGTTTAGCGGTTAGGTTATTATTACAGGGTTTGTGGGGTTAAAGTTGAGTGTTAAGGATAAGTTAAGTGCTGGAATTAAATTATAAGGACTCACATCAGGCATTAGGGGACCTGCAGGATTTACACTTGTTTTTGAGAACTCCCCCCTATAGAGACCAGCACTGAGCTGTCAGCACTAAGAACATACCATTTATTTGGAATGTACCTTTTCCTACTAGCCTGTTAGGGTAGGGTGGCTTTGTTGCTCCCCCATAGAGTGGAGTCAGCAAGTGTGTTAATGCCAGGTGCAGGGGGCGTGGCTTGCCAATGGCGACGTGAGGACGTGACTCCTTGGAGCTCTGCATCTCCCGGCACCGGCCTAAGCTCTAGCAGACGTTATTCTCCCCCTTCTCTGGATGTCTCGGGTGTCGGGAAGTCAGCTGTGCCTCCGGAGTTCCCGACAGTCGGATTTTGGCTGATTTTTTTCCCCCCGCGGGTACCGCGAGCCGACCGGAGGATACGCGACACATGGCGTCCACCCGCTCCACGGCCGCAGGCCCCACTCCGTCCAAGACCCGGAGTAAAGTGACAGCGCCGCCCGTGGAAGTGGGAAGTCGGCCGGGCGACTGGCAACCATCACCGATCCCCTCACCGGCACTCTCCCTGGCCGCATCGGATGCCCGCCCTGACATAGAGGTGGAAGAGGGGGGAGACTGGAGGGACATTCTCCCGCACCTGACTACCAAAGGGGACCTGGAGGATATGGCCGCACACATAGTGGCAGCCCTCAGGCAAGAGGTCCAGGATATCGGGCACAACCAAACTCTTCACCGATTTTTAAATAAGCCTGCTAATCTTCAGATTATTTCACCTATTTATAACCACTTTGCTTCCCTTGCCAATATCAATGAGAATTTTTATAACCCTTAGTGAAAATTGACACCAAAAATACATGCAAGTACCTTAACTATTAACAAAAATGTATCTTATTTGTGTATCACTCAGCTGTAGATCCTCAAATCATCTCTTTATTGGTGCTGACACTGTCCTTCCTTCTGGAGGGTGGCAACTTTTGTTCCTCATGGTCCCTGTGTGTGTTGTAAAGTAGTCACCACTCCAAGCTCACTCCTGTGATGGACTACAATCCCATTGCTTGGAGTGGTGGCTACTTTACAAAACACACAGGGACCATAGGCAACAAAAGTAGTCACCCTCCAGAAGGAAGGACAGTGTCAGCACCAATTCAGAGTAGACTTGTGCGCCGTCAAAAAATTTGTTCCCTTTAGTTTCGGAATATCCGTT